ACTGGGAAACGGCTCACCTCTCCGGAGCACACACCTGTATATGGAGACGTTCTCCAGGAGCCTACTGGTGGAGCGCTCCAGCAGCGCGATTCCCCCGGGGGAAACCTTCAGGGACACCTTGGGAGGCTTTTTCCTGCCAGCTTTGGCCTGACAGGGCGGACAGAAAGACGACTGCTTTTGGTTTTTTGTAAATCATTTACGATACGACATGCGTCCTGTTGGGGGCAAAAGCCATCGTCAAAATATGGACCTAACCCTGCGCTGGACTCCTGCAAAAGTTCAGAGCAGGAAAAGTAAAAGAGGTCAGCTCTGGGGGGGAACAAGGCTGCACGTGGCTGCATATGCATGCAGCTCCTCCCAAAGGACATGGCTGCCTCAGGTCACCTCAGGTCACCTCAGTCCTGCCCAGGTAGGACCCCTGAGGCTGCCCTGCTCTGCGGGGGCTCCCAGCAGAGCAGCTCCTCTAACGGCCGGTAGAGAAGCTGCTCTGCTCGTTTAACACGGCCGGTAGAGGAGCTGCTCTGCTCCTCTACCGGCCGGTAGGACGGCTGGGGGCCCTTTCTCACCTTGCAGAGCAGCTGGATGCTTACAGGATTCTAACGCTAAGCTCCAAACTATCTGTTGTAGCCAAAACATGAACATTCCAACTGATCAGTGTTCCACTGATATGTGACAACAGGTTTTGGAGTGGACTGACTAAAGCTAGATCATAAGCCTGTGTTTCAGGCGCCTACGCCTAGGCTGACTTTAACCGGGTAGCGTCTGGCTTTAATCGGATTCACCTTCATCTAACTAAATAGGGAAGAAGCAAAGAGTTTTTCACAAGGTTTTGGAGACAGCAGGCAGTGAACTGGGTGCTTCATTTTTTCTAAAACAGGCCCCTTCCCAACTATGAAAAGACACTGCTTGCATTTTTTGCCCGTCACAGTTTCTGAGAAGGCTCTGTGATAAAACCATCAGCTGAATCATATCAGAGAGCTCTTCTTCAAAGCAGTTTTCACGGCTGATTGGCTTTTGAGCTGCTATTGATGTGTCTATCTGATTTGACGGTCTTACAGCTTGAAGAATAACATTCCTGGTTGAAAAAAAAAACTCGACAATCTTGCTAATTTCAAGTTAACTGGGGAGGGAAAAACAAACCAAAACAAACATGAACTGATGGGAGAATATTTCCGGCATCACTGATTTAGAGGGCTCTCACCGTGGCAACAATCCTCTTGACAGCAGCTGCTGACAGCTCCTCTCCTCTGGGCTGGTCCACCAGGGTCATGCCCAGGTGGCGCAGGTTAAAGGTCATCCCCTCCAGGATGGTCTCCCGCGTGTCCGTCCAGTTCTCCGGAAGCTCTGAGCGGTGTTGTGAAAGGGCAGGATCAGAGCATCGTCTTCACGTTAGGATCACACCAGGAAATATTCATTCATCTTTTCTCATTTTGGGTTAGAAAGACTAAATAGAAGTGGCAAAAACATTTGAAGAATTTGTAAAAAACATTAATCAGAGGGAATGTAAAGAGCCAGAGCTCAACTGGAAGCTTTCTCTCCAAAGCAGAGAGCCCAAACAGGGAATGTAGGTCAGAGGTTCAGAACAGAACAAGTACGCATGGACTCTGAGCTCCTGCCAAGAGGGAAGCCTGTTTTTCTGGGGTTAGGTTTTTGCTTTTTGCAACACGAACGATTCTTCCAAAACAAGCATCACGCGTTGTCCTGAAGTTGAATTCTTCTCTTTGGCAGAGAGGGGCACCGGCGGGGGGGAAACGCCAGCGG